AGTTGCGGAAGTTTTAAACAATAATTTTAAATTTTGTACACCACGTTTTGTTGAGCGCCTTAGTCTCCTGTAGCAATGAGGATTATTAATGTAATTCATTAAATATTTTAAGGTTAATATACATATAAAAACATATGGACATGGTAACAACAAATATATACGACTTTTCAGCAGTGAGTGAGTGATAGATAATCTGTTATACTCAATAAAAAGGTGCAAAATATTTGTCAAAGTACACATAATAACATACAAGATGGAGTTACCGTGGTAGTGTGTGTGGTGGTGGTGTGATACAGACAATGTGTACCAACGAAATATTATTCTCACATATTCCCACAGTTCACTACAGCGTTAGCAACAGAATACTACATATATTTATTTGAACATTCTATTTTTTGTTGTTAGAGTCAGGAGTACTTTTTTCACAGTTCAACACTGCACTAGCAACAGAATAATACATGATTCATTATAAATTATTTAAATTAATCCCAGCGTGTTAAGAAAATCAAAACAAGATTTTTCTGAACGTTTCACCGTGTAAGCCACAGCTTCTTCATCAGATTTATTCGGATTATAATTCAGAAAAATCTTGTTTTGATTTTCTTAACACGCTGGGATTAATTTAAATAATTTATAATGAATCAGTCTGACTCGGCGCTCAAATTATTCCAGGAAGTTCGTAACATCTACGGTCTGGAAACCTATAATCTTATAAAAAAAAAAAGGTTTTAATTTTTTCATTAATAACCGAAAATCCAATTGGTTAGAAATATATATATATACCTTTGGCTTCCGTGGCTTGCCTTTTGTTGTTTCAGTTGGAACAATACAATAATAAACAATTAGGTTCAATAGGCATTATTATAACAGTTGTAGTATTTCCCAATCAATAAGTAACATAACGATATTGCTTTTATTGCCGTTTCATTATTTAGTGCTGCTAATAGCTTTATCAAAGTCTTTTTAGGGCAGAATTTACAAAATCTCAGTTTATATATAATAACAATTTGATCATCTTTCCTCAGCATGGGGTGATTTTCACTTTGTCAAGTTGGAGATGACAAAATCAAGTGTAGACTGTTGGACTTGATAAGCGTATACAATTAGAAAAGCAACATATCTTTACATAATGAAATTGCTTAACACATTTGTATAAAAGGAGAGACGTTCAACGAAGAGCTCATTTCGGTGATATCACTTTCAAGCTGTACAATCGCATATATATGGTTGATTTTCTTAGCAACAAAATCAATACTTCAGATTTTTGTTATTAGAATTGTAAGTTTTAGTTAACGAGTTACGTAATATGGAAAGCGTTAATCGGGTGGAAGTTACAATAAAATCATTAGAATGTTAAGTTTTAGATAACAAATTTCGTTAATGGGTTAAAAACTAAAGTAAGATTAAAAAAGCAAGTTGAGTGATGCAATCTAATTGACGGGGTTAAGTAGAGCTCAGTTAAAATTAAAACTGAAAAGTCAAGTTAACAACAGTGGTAGAGATTTAATCAGGAGGAGGGAAACGAAAGTATTATACAATCAAGATGGAACAATTAAAAAGATCCATCTACAAAAAGACGACATGGAACGGACAACTTACTAAATTTCACAGTTGTGTGCCCCTATACACAAAACGAAGCCTAATCCGTTCATTGAGCCATTGAATTCACAGCATTTGCTGTCCTAATACTATAGAAGAGGAGTTAAACACTCTGAAGAGAATCTTCCTAGAAAACGGCTACCCAGAAAGTTTTATCACAAAATCAATGAAACATAAACTACCAAAACTGCCCACACTCTCTGCTCCCGAAAAACTTCTTCACCTGAACCTACAATTCATAAGAGGGAATCATAAGTAGAAGTACTGCGAAACCACCTGTCCCGCTTATTGAAGAAAACCTTCTTCGCTGCTGAACTCGGAGTAATCTTCTCTACGAAGCTAATGATTCACATGAATGTGAAGAATAAGCCACCATTGTTGGCTTCATCTTTTTTTTTCCTTCACGTTCCCAGTGGAACATAGGGCTCCAAGCTAGCGACTTGAAGTTTCTGTAGCAGCGTTTATTTTACAGGATGGGGTTACTAGCCTCATGCTCAACTTTTCCTCTTTACCAGCATTATTTCTGGCTTAGCGAGGTAAAGGAGTGCGTTGGTGGCCGGGGATCGAACCCGGACCATGTGCATGGTCGGTGAGCGTCCTAACCACCGTGCCACCGACGCACAAAAGAGGTGGCGATCTCCACCCGCGGACCGGGCTGTCACATGGCCACCATTCACAGGCGCTTTCCCGCTACCGCACCACGCGGGGACTTTTGCCTGCTGGGTTTCCCTCCTGGGACGGTGCGCCCCTCCTAAGTCGACCTGGACAACCCGTCCTCCGACAGGTCATCCATATCGGCACCGTGATTAGCGTGGACGCCCGATCAACATGAGCAGCCATATGCCAGAACTCCCGGTCCCGCGAAATCCCGCACCCTGGCCTCCAAGTAGCTAGACTACAGGCGTACGCCACCACGCCCAGCCTTGGCTGGCTTCATCAATCTGTATCTGTTAATTCACCTGCTCATGTGGAGCTAATTATGCTGGCCGTACCCAGCCTTTGCTATCCAAACGTGTCACCAAAAACTCCCCCTCATGGTTTTATAAAGAAAAGAGATCCGCCCCGCAGCTCTATAGTAGAACACCTGATCGAATCCGGACACCAGGCAAACACACAAGCCAACTTCAAAGTTAGTTATCTACAGAAAACGTGGGAATCTCTCAATCACAAGCCTTATTAATGTACATAAAATATATAGAGATACGTGTTGATTTTCGTAATAAAACGATCTGTTGCCTGGCCCTTGTCTTCTGTTGTTACAATATATGTGTTTTGATGAATTCAACGTATAACTTTGCACAAAAAAAGGTGTATCCAGTCAATCTGTAACACCTCGAAATAACACATAGGAAAGAATCAGAAGTGTAATGATTCTTTTATGGTGTATATATGACTTCTAGATCGTAGGAATTCATCATATATTCCTTTGGATTATGTGTGGAACATAGAGCTTCAGTAGCACTTTTGCCACTTTACTTGGTTTTCTGCGGTCGTTTTTAGCTAGGTCCATGATTGTCCATTAAACCTTCATCGCCTCCTCACACCATCCAACCCATCGTTTCTTATTCGGGTTCCTGCTTAGGGCCTACAATGCACGTGATGTCAGTTAACAGTCTCTTCAGCGTATCTCCAATCGATCTCCATTTCCTTCTGCAAAAGATTCTCGTTTGTTTCTTTCCTAGAGTTTCCTGCTGCTAATCCTTTCTGGTTCAGATTTTCTAGAGTCTTCTCGCTCCTCACGGTTTGTTGCATGATTCAGTTCACCTCGATGGGGACTATCATTGGTGATAGTAAGCAGTCTTGCCTTACTCCTGTCTTTGCCTCTAAGGCTTCGCTAAGTTTTCCGTTGTGAATCACTTGTCATTTGGCATCAATCAGTATAAATACGAATATTCACGGCCTCAGAGATGTTGAGGATAAGTGTAAAAATTAATGACAGTATGAATGATTTCGAGTTATAGTTCCAAAAATTTCCGGCGAAGTTCAACAATAGCGTCTCAAGGGTGCGAACGATCCAATGACCTTGAACGCATGCCAGTCGTTGGCTGACGACATCTGTCATCATCATCATAGCTGAAATATCAGCGCTATTCACGAAATTAGCAACAAATTTTACTCAGATCACCTTTTTAAGTACTGTTTCGACAGTGTGTTAATAGCTCGTTTGGGTTAGTGTTAAGTCTAAGTTTAGGGTCAGGGTTAAGTTTAGGGTTACGACTAGAGATAGATTTAGAGGTGATGTCATTTATTTTAATTTGTTTTCTTATCCACATTTTCCTGGTTAGTAGTCGTCGGTCTTCTTACTGGAAACCATAGTAATTCAACCGAGGGCTTTGGGGAGGACTGCACAACAGGATAAAAAAGATGAACTATTCACAAAAACAGCTCATATTCAGTGACCTCGGTGAATACATATGTGCAGAAACTAGTCTATCTTAGCAATCGATACTGTTTATGTAAACAAACATCAATTTTTGTGCAAAAGTTCCTCATTTTTATGGCTGGTTGGCCCAAGGTTAGTCATGCGTTCGCACCCTTGGGACGCTATTGTTGAACGTTGCCGAATCTCCAACAAATCTGTCACGGAATCTCTAGCTTCTTAGAGTTACGTGAATCTTTTACACCTCAGAGGAAGTAACCTGCAAGAGGTAGCATCTAGTTTTTTGGCATAACCGATGAATTAAAACAACAATAACTTGGTTACATTTTTATATTATAAACAGATTATTTTTGGCACTGACATATTTCAACACTATACCGTTACTTATTAATACTATTCACATAGAATAATGAGGCATTGAATGAGAACAACACCCTCTAATAACTTTGTAAATTATCAATATCTAAAATCTAGGCCTGAACTGAAACTGTATCTTTACACTTTGCTACACTTGAAGACATTTTTTTGTATTGCCTATCCAAATCTGTAATAATAATAAATGTCTATCAATGTGTGTAATCATTTTTGCATTTTTTTTGTCGTGTCTATTGTGGCCTCTTTTTTTCGCTAATACACAAATTTGTTATTGATTTCATTTGTTTTCTCGTCTTCATCTCACAAAATAGACGCTACACAATTACACAACATTGCTGAGTACATACTACATAGTAGTGGATTAATGTTGTATTATGCATGATATATAGTGGTAATAGATTAACTTCGTTTTTCTTTCTTTTTTTTGGTGTTTTCAAATATACACTTACCTTTCTACTGCGTGTTACGTAGTAAGTATTGTATTGTATTGTATTGTATGCGTGGGTGTTCCACAGAATGCCGAAATCCACATTCACTATACTACTGGATTTCTAGTAATCATTATATATATATATATATATATACGTGTTGTTAGGCAATTCCTTCATCTTATTCTTTTACCTTTTATTTATTTTCATATGCGTAGTCGAACAGGTACTTTAGTTTCAACCGGTGATGGTCAAATGTCACAGGATATTACTTCATCAGATGATAAAACGAATAATCCGGCCAATTCACAGACTGGTGAACTGCTTCCTGTGATTACAAAACGCTCACCGATTATCAGAAGACTTTCTATCCCTCCAAAACCGAATATCAGTTTGAATTTATGGAGTATCATGAAGAATTGTATCGGCAAAGAGTTGACTAAAATTCCTATGCCTGTGAGTGTGTTTTTGATTTTAATGCGCTAAAGTTTTCCAATGTTTGTATTTCATGCTTATTTATTTCATTTCATTTCATTACAAATATATATATATATATATTATATATTCATCATGAATATTGTTTCAATTGTGTCAGAGGTTCCAATGGTAGGGCGCTCGCCAGACACGTACGTGGCCTAGGGTTCGATCCCGACGGATACACTTCTAGACGTTGCGTAGTTTATAAGTCGATAGTAAGTCTGCGAAAGTGAGGGCGGGGATGGGGTGGATAGACGTGAGACTAGCACTTCCACCCTGTAGAAGCAACACTACAGAGCTGCTGAGACTTCAAGGCTTCATGCCTGAAACCCTATCATCCATTGAGAACGCAAAAGAGCGAAAGAAAGTGTTTCAACTATGATTTCTTAATCATTAGTTTACACAGATTATTTTAACCTATTTCACCTATGAAAATAGAATACTGAAAGAATGAACATATTTAAGGGTTGACGATACTACGAGCTCGTTATATTTCGTGGATTATGCTCAACTGTATACATCCTAAATAAATCGATTATTATTATTATATCCTTTAATTCCTAGAGGAACATAGGGCTTCAGCCGCGCGTCTCCATTGCATTTGGTTCTGTATCAACTTTTTCACTCCGCTCCAAGTCTGCCCACATGCTTTCATCTCCTCTTCACATAACCTCCTCCAAGTCATCCTTGGACGACCAACTCGCCACTTCCCTTTCGGATGCCACTCGAGGGCTTGTCTAGTGATGTCACTTGATGGTTTCCTCAGAGTATGGCCAATCCATCTCCATTTCTTCCTGCTATTTGTTGCACAATTGGTTCCTGCTGGGTTGATTCGCTCCCAGAGATCCCTGTTGCTGATCGTTTCTGGTCATCTGATCTTGAGTAGTATTTAGCGAAGACAAGTGTTAATGAAGGTGTGTAGTTTGTTTGAGATGCTCTTTATGACGCGCTGGCCAAGTCTCTGATGCGTATAGTAGCACTGACTACACAGTGGGGTTGAAAATCCGGATGTTATTTTGGATGCTGAGTGCTGTTGACCTACACACAGACTTAAGAGTAATGAAAGCTTGTCTTGCTTTTCTGATTCTGGCTTTGATATCCTCGTCAGTTCTGCCTGTAGTTGAAACGATGCTTCTCAGGTAGGTGAAGGAGGTTGTTTCTTTCAGGTTCTTCCCATTTATGCTTATTGTGGTCTGTTGGTGTTGTTGATGTTGGCTAGGAATCTTCATTATCTCTGTTTTATCTATGTTCACGTGAAGTCCTATCTTTGATGCTTCTTCTGCCAACTTGTCGCTTTTCACTTGCATATCTTCCAGTTTGTGGGAAATCAGACATATATCGCATCGGTGAAGTCCAGATCCTCCAAGTTTTTTGTGTGAGTCCATTTTATGCCTGTTTCCTCATTGCCCGTTGTCTGTCTCATTATCCAATCTACTGCAATCAAGAAGATAATTGGCGATGGTAGACAGCCTTGCCTCACTCCCGTCCTCACTTCGAAGGATTCCGTAAGTTTCCCGTTGTTGATTACTTGGCATGCAGCAAAATAAATTGATTATACGTTACACAATTTCTCAACATACTTTTTACAATAATTTCAAGTCATAGATAGAAGGCATAAGTAGCATGATTTCAAAGATGATGTAGGTGGACAATTATTTGATGTTAAAAGAGTAACTACTTACAAATTAATAGGACAGGGGAGTGGGGGGATGCATTTTAAATTTAGCTTGGAAACAAGTACAGACTAGAGACAAAATACAAGATAGAACAACTGAATTAGTTTACGCATTTTATGGTAGAGGGTTCAGAAGATTGGGGGGGGTTGAATAGTGAAGTAGAATTATAAAATAGATAAAATGATTTAATTTAGTAGACTCGGAACCTTAGTAGTGAGTGGAAATCAAAATCAAGATTGAGTGGAATGGAAGCCTACACCTTAAAGTTAGTCATCACAACTCATCATCAGATGACTTATTGATACATTCACAATTGTAACGTTACTTTTCTACTACACTACACGTTTTAATCCAGTCATCTGTATCAAATAATTGAAGAGGATTTTAAGAATGGACAATATTTTAACTGACTCGTGTCATATCCATTCTCTCTGGTATCATTTAAGTTGGTAAATGATTTACGGTGGCGCACGAAAGTCGCTGACTTTCGTCTTGAAGTCTCAAATAATTCCCAGGAATGTAGTGCGTCGGTGGTATAGTGGTTAGGACGCTCGCCAACCATTCAAATGGTCCGGGGTTTGATCCCCGGTCGCCGACGCACTCCTTCACCTGGCTGAGTCAGAAATAATCCTGGTAAGAAGCAAAGGTTGGACATGAGGCTAGCAACCCCATCCTGTAAAATAAACTCTGCTACAGAAACTTCAAGTCACTAGCTTGGAGCCCTATGTTCCACTGGAGAACGTGAAGGAAAAAAAACAACATTGGAATGCGATGTGACTGATGTATTTTCTGATCGTTTTGATTAAGTGGATTTCTAGGTTATAGGAGTTCACCGTTTTTCCTTTTGGGAGATTTATAATCAGCGTAAAAGCCTGAATTAAAAAAACAGCTTCTCCTTACATATTGAAGTGATGAGTTACTAAATTGTTTGGTTATTCAGACCAGATGTTTGTATTTTTCTATCCTATTTGTCAAGTAGTATGGTGAGCGGTGTTTAAGTTAGGTGTAGAGTATTGTAAGTTGAGGAGAGGGAAGTCTGTCGATGAGGTTGTGAAATTGCATCATTTAAGATGGCTGTGATACATCATGCTATGCATGCTGAGCCACCTCATTACTCGACGAGCCCTATTAGCTGATATAGGATCAGATTGAAAGAGTCACGGGTGATTTAAATCAATCCATGAAGTTTTTGATAGTTGATTTGAGCCAGTCACGTAAGAAGTTGTAGACTGCCTGGTCAGAGTTGTCAGGATTCTAGAAACCGATGGCTGTTGACTATTGGTAGATGGCTGAAAAACGTAGATGCATTTATTTTATGTAGCATTCCAGATCGACTAAGGTTATCAATCTTTCCTTCGTACATTTCTGCTTACTGTGGTTCTTTTGGATCGCTTTTTTCCTCTTTTTTTGTCTGCATTGAGTATGGCCACTTGAGCTGATCCACTTCTGTGCTAAGTTCTACATTGAAATTCAGTCACTCTGTCAGTTACCTAGATCACAAACACTTCCTGATTTTCAATTATTGGTTTGTAGAGATTTTGATTGATTGGTTAGAGGATTTCATCATTAACTGACATTAGCTAGAGAACCATTGGAAAACCTGAGAGTACTGGACAGCTGTTTCGTCCTAGTTTGGGGCTCTTCATCAGTACGCACCCACGGGGGTTTGATCCCTGGACCTTCTGGTTACAAGACGAACTCGCAGACCACTAAGCCACTGGGACCCGATCCAATGGCCAACACATGAATTCTAACTTCTGCCAATTCACGAAATAGCCAATGTCTTCAGCGAGTATTTGTCCTCACACCCGACCTACTGCACTCTACTGGTTATGACTTCTCAACTAGAACCTCAGGTAACTAGTTATCTGAATAGAACCGGTCGCCAGTGAGCATCTCATTGATTGATTTAGTTCTCTGGATTTTTCATGTTTCCTTTTTGACTGTATGTACGTACTACGCCTTCTTTGATACTTAGTGGAATAGCAAAGAACGATTAACGGTCACGCCTAAATTACTGTTTGTACAGAATATATGTATGCAGGAGAAGAATTTGAGCATCAGATGACTATTATTCAATGTTGAATAAGTTTATTTGGTGTGACACGCAGTGATACAGTATTAATTATTGAGTATTATCCTTGTTATTTTCCGTATTTCTATGTTTGAGTTGTTCACTTTTCATGTCTGTTGGTAGTTAGTTTATTGACAATTCTGTGGAGTGTGTGTTATGTCAAAGCAGGTTACCTAATATGTACAGAATTCAATTTGGGGAAGAAAAATACCATACTCTCTTTTTTCCTTATTTCGTTGTGTTCTCTCTTTCTCTCTCTCTCTCCCTCCCTCCTTCGAAATTGATTTTACTTTCATACAACTAACAAAGCAGAGTTTCCAATGTATCATTTCATCATTATCACAGTGTTGTTATTCTTCCAATGTCTATAATTATCTTTATTTGAAAATAGTATGGAGAATAATTGTGTTTATTTTTGTATTTCTAATATAATAATAGTAATCACTGTATCCAAAACTCTGATTTTGTACAAAATGCAAACTGATGGATGATATGAGACAATAGAATTACCCCACTGTTCGAATGACTGTCTCTTTGGTTATCGAGTAAAAACGAAGCATTCTTACTATAATCGACTGCATGTAGAAGCACAAGATTATGAAAATACAATTTTATGTGTTTAACTTTGAAGATTGAGGACTAGATATGACTAGAGATGAAGCAACATTTACTGTCATAGAGTAACCGGTATTCTAAAGCGGTTTTAAATAAATACCTTGTGAAATATCCAGATTGCAGAGATCCTGTAACTATCGCTGGTTTCAGAAGACTAAGCTTGATACGCAAAACACTATGCACTGTAACCGATGCACAATGACAGAAAACGGTTGGGCAACATGGTTATTTATTCTTCAAGAGATAATGGAACAGATTTACAATGGTTAATCAGTGACAAAGTGTGTAAATAAACGTTAATATAATATACAACATGATTTATGTTTGATGTCACACACAATCGATGACTTACAAGCGAAAACCGAAAAAACTGGTCGAAGAAGCAGCCGGCGAAGACAGGACTCCAGGTAAACATAGACAAGACGGAGGTTATGAAAATAACCAGCCAACAACAACACACAGCAGCAACAACATCCAGCCACCAGCCAATCACCATCAACGGGAGGGGTTTGAAAGAGGTCACTTCATTCACTTATCTAGCAGTGGGCATTATCTCAACTACAGGGAGTCGGAACGGACGAGGATGTCCAATCGAGCGAGAATTGGAAAGGCGAGAAACACATTCATCGACCTGACTGAAACCAATCTGGAAGTTTTCGTCACTCAGCCACCATCAACAACAAAATCCAGTCGGATTTTCAATACAAACGTCAAGTCAGTCAGCTCTTCTATACGATTCAGAAACTTGGCGCTTGGCGGGTCACAAAGAATATTTCCAAAAGCCTGTTGCAGACCTGTATCAACCAACAACTGTCTTCGCTGGATCTATACTGAAGATCAGATGGCCGGGCCGGGCCGGACCGGAAAGAATCACCAACAAGAAACTATGGGAACAAGCAAATAAAACAAGAACAAACCAATCGCCACCTGACAAATATGCAGGAGAAAGTGGAGATGGATGGATTGGACACTCGCTGAGGAGGCCGCCACTGGGTGACATTGCTGCGCGTTAGGCCATTGCTCGAGTGGAACAAGGCCGAAAGGGAATCGGCGAGTGGGACGTGAGTGCAAGGGTGACATGGAGGAGATGGTGTGAAGAGGAGTTGAAAGAGTATGGACTAACATGGATGCAGGTGTAAAGCACAGCAGAAGGCAGAAAAGCAAGTGGAGACGTGCAGTTGAAGCCCTATGTTCCACTATGAACCCAAAGAATCAATAATAACAATACAATAATAATATACAACAATACTTCTCATCGTATTCCTCCCATTTTCTGCCAATCAGTACACGATTAAGGAATGATAGCCATCATGTCAACCACTAATGCAGACCAGTTTGAATAAACAAACTATTCAATGTTTACCAACATTGATATATCTCGTAAAATATTTTCCACAATCTAATGTCAAATACCTAAATAACATATTGCCTATGTTATTACGTGGACATAGATACTGCACAGTAAGCGCCTTTTTTTAGAGTATGCTGTGAACCCAATTGAGAATCGAAATTCCAGCATCTTCATTACTGCAGTAAATTTATTTCTTTTATAGATATGAATGTAGATGAAAAAAATCAATCGTGAAATTTGTAGTTTTTGCTTACTGACTCAGGGACAAACAAAAGATATAATTCAAGCGAACATAGAGAAGACAGTAGGGATAAATATTCTAAAGCAATAAGTAACAGGCATCGAATACCGTCACTGGGTGGTGATAACTGAAGAAAGTCACTGCTTTCACCTATTTATGCAGCATCGTTTCAATTACAGGCGGTATCAATGAGGATGTCAAAGCCAAAATCGGAAAGTGAAGTCAGGCGTTCGTAACTCTGAAAGCAGCGTGGAAATCTCTACTACATTCAGCATGAAGAACCAGATCCTGATCTTCAAACACTAATTTCAAGTTAGCTCTTCTTTATGGTCACTAAAAGTTTCCAAGAGCGTGCCTCCGCTCCGTATTGACGATCAAGTGGCTGGAATGGAAAAACCGCTGCAAACGAACCAATCTAGGTCCTTTTAACCAACAAATATGTAAAAGAAAATGGAGATGGTTTTGGAACATGCTGAAGAGGTCGTTGAGTGACTTCAGTCGCAGTCTATGTAGGGCCTCGAGTGGAACTCGAATGGGAATTGAATTTCGAGTCGAGCATGTGTCTAAGAGTAGCATGGAGAAGATCATACATATATATATATATATATAATGAAGGTGTAATTCAAAGCACTATTTCTTTGTTTGAATAGTGGCTTTTAGCAGTTTAAACCTGAGACCGAGCACGGGAAGATCTAAAATTCAATTAAAATAATTAATATGACCCGTTGCACAAGAGGTGGCTCTCGTGGCCCAAGTAGTCTTAGTGGATAATGCTTTGGCGTTTGAAACTATGGTCACTGGATTCGAGCCTCAATGGGAACATCATCACTCACTATGGAATGCAGGCCCATCCAGTTGACGAGTCCCAAATAGGACGAAACACGCATCCTGGATTCCACTGCTAGTCACCATCCACCAATTAAACTATAAAGTTCAAGCTGGCTGAAAATACCCAATAAAACTATATTGTTGTTGTAATTATTTGTAATCGTAGTATTAGTATTTCGAGATGACCGAATTACAAGAATTCAACTAAAACACAGAGAGGGCGGAATTCAGGAATTTGTATTTATCGGAATTATTATTGAGTTCATATAAGAAATATATTAACAATCAACAGTAAGTATTTAAACAATACAGAGATAGAAATTGTCAATCACCACAATTGTTCTTCGATATTACTATTCTTATTGCCTTATATCTGTTTACTGTCTCTATTTTGCATTTCTTTTCAACTTCTCTTGCTTTGTGTGCTACATGGAGTGTGACGACTCGAACTGCTGCACATCGGTGCAAAGTTCTATGCTGAAACCAGTCAGTCAGTCAAGCAGATTGCCAGTTTTGTTTATCAAGGGTTTTAATCACTTTTCAATTGTTTTACACTTATTGTTTAAATATACTAGCAAAGTTTAAGGTCAAAGGTACTGAGATACGAAGTTGGTTATCTTTGAACTGTAACCAAAGGCTAAGAAGTTATTGCGACCTAATGAAAGCAACAACTTAAGGCTTTAAAATAAAAATTTAGTAGATGATTTGCAATTGATAGTGTTCTCTGAGCTCCTTGGTTTAATTGCGGAGCTTTCATCGTCTTTCTGGACGACATCTTCAGCGCAGTATTTAGGATAAAGTGAAATGATTTAAATTTCTTCATGAGTCTCCCGGTAACCATCTTTAGATATTTATTGACCGTTTTCTATTGATTGGGATTTTAAACTTTCTGATCACCTGATTTACTTCTTATTAGTTGGTATATTTCATCTATATTAACGTGTTTATTAATTGCGTTTTCATTTGAGTACACGTTAATATAGATGAAATATACCAACTAATAAGAAGTAAATCAGGTGATCAGAAAGTTTAAAATCCCAATCAATAGAAAACGGTCAATAAATATCTAAAGATGGTTACCGGGAGACTCATGAAGAAATTTAAATCATTTCACTTTATCCTAAATACTGCGCTGAAGATGTCGTCCAGAAAGACGATGAAAGCTCCGCAATTAAACCAAGGAGCTCAGAGAACACTATCAATTGCAAACTTAAGGCTTTATCAATATACATTTTAGAGCCTCTTAGTATGTAATGAGTAATAAGTAGACTAATTAAGCTAAACAAAAATCTATACATGACCCGCTCGCGTTTATCACAAAATTAATATTTTTGTACATTATCAAAAGAGATCTCTTTTCAAGTCTATGAATGGTAATATTGTGTTAAAAGTAGTACATTTAGTTAGCGTTTTCTGAGTTCAGTTGATTTCAAGTTATGAAGTGTGATATGGATTATCAAATGCTTACTGCATACAAACTTTCACTTTCTGTGCACATGATCTCTTCCATGTCACCATCAGGCACTTAATTAATCTCTTCCCCTTACTAATATTGTTATTTCTTTGGGTTCCGAATGAGACACAGGGATTCAGCAACACATCTCTATTTACTCCTGTTCTCTGCAGTTGTTTTTGACTGGCCCTACAGTTGCTCATAAGCTTTCATTCCCTCCTCACACGGCTTCCTCCATGTCACTGTTGGACGCTCAACTCGATGTTTCCTGTTTGGTTTCCACTCAAGGGTTTGTTTTTGTGGCGCACAACGTCCTTCAGTGGTTTTTACCTGCTTAGAAACGAAGTTGCTAGACCTATTGGTTACTTATTTTACATCAGATATACTTCGTGATGTGATCAAGCTACAACCCCCCCCTCCCTGCACATCAAGAATAGCGACCCCTTTTTAATATCCAACATTTCTTAATTACTTTTATTTATTTTTTTCTCCAGGTTAATTTCAGTGAACCATTGTCAATGCTTCAACGTTTAACAGAAGACTTTGAATATTCTTCATGTTTGGATCGTGCTGCTGCCTGTCAAGATTCATTAGAACAAATGGCTTATGTTGCGGCATTCACTGTCTCTGCTTATGCTACAACTGCAGTGCGTACAAATAAACCATTTAATCCTTTATTGGGTGAAACCTATGAGTGTGATAGAACCGATGATCTTGGTTGGCGGTCGCTAGCTGAACAGGTATGGGCCTTATTTACTTCTTTATTTAATTTTTATAGATCTCTAACGTGTTTTTCTGTCAAAGTAATTTTTATTTATAAGGAATTGTTCTTATCTTTTGTTATATTATGAGAGATAATTTTCTTGATCATAAAATTCTTTATTGTATAACTAAGTAAAATAGAATGAAATACCACTTATATTATATTACCGGTATAGTTTACATGATATTAGTTAGTGTGGGAATATCTAGTCAGGTGTATCTCACATAACTTGTTTGTGTGTATGTGTACCTGTATGCATACATCACATAAATTTAATCACATGACATTAAAAATGGTACAATTCAACTTCTTCCTGTTTCTTGAATATATATAACAACAAAGTAGCTTAACCTGAATATGTAATATTTATCTATCAACATTTTCTTGTTACCATTATCTACTTGTGTGTGTGTGTGTGTTAGTTCAGTGGAAGCCTCTTTGTATTGTTTCACAACCCACAGTCGTTATAGAAGCCTCATATGCTTTTAGTAATAATAAACAAAAATGGAACTTCATTTCTCCTCAAGAGTTGGTTTGTAATGATTAAATTTGTGTTTTACGAGTTTGATCACGGATTGGATATCAGTTAGAGAACCATTGAAAACCAGACACAGGGAAGTACTGGACAGCTGCTGTTTCATCCTAGTTTGGGAATCATCGGCAGTACCCATCCACCAAACAGGGGGTTCGAACCAATGACCTTCCGGTTACAAGGCAAGCTGGCTCGTATACCATTCAGCCACTCGGACCCGATTCAATGACCAGCCCATGAATTCTAACTTCTACCAATCGGTGATCTGGCGCGACCACTACTCCCTGTCATAGGTGGGAACTCCATGCTCACACTTGACTACTGGTTGAACCTAAGTGGTCAATACTTCTCACTAGAACTCCAAGAAACTCTGTCCTGTAGCAAGTCACTAGCGAGCATCATTTCTTATGTCAAATACTCTCTGGTCCTGTATATTATGTTATATAATAGTATATTGTGTTACTCTTACTACTGACCGTTATCCCCTTATTTATGATCGTTTTTATGTTCCAATAAATACCTAAACTATCACCACCTAATCTATATAAAAATTGACTTTTAGGCGAAGTTTAACAATAACGCCCCAGGAGTGCGAACGCTTCAGTTACCTTGAACGCATGCTGGTCGTTGGCTAACGTCACCTTTCGTTATCATAGCTGAAATATCAACGCTATTCATCAAATAAGGAGCAAGTTGCACCCAGATCACGCTTTTAATTACTGTTTGGACAATGTTAGGGTTAGGATAAGAGTTAAGTTATGTGTTGGGGTTAGCGTCAGAGTTACGGTAATAATTGGGATTAGGGTTAGGTTTACGGTAGGATAAGGATTGTCATTAGGGTTAGGATTAAGGTTAAGACTTGTGTTAAGTTTAGGGTTAGGGTCAGGATTAAGGTTAGGGTTGCGATTAGGGATAGATTTGTAATTAATGTTGTTTATTTCAATTTGCTTTATTATCCTCATTTTCCTTGTATGTAGTCGTCGATCCTCTTACTGAAACCATAGTAATTTATCGATGTCTTTGGAGGGACTACACAGCAAGAGAACAGAGATGAATGATTCACAAAACAGCACATCTTCAGTCACTTTGATGAATATATCTACAGAAACTAGTCTAACTTAGCAACTGATACTCTTCATCATAACTGGGACATATTTTTGAGTCATGTCAGAGAAAGATAATCTGTGTAATGTGTTATCATGCATTTTCTTCTGAATTTATGTCATTTTTTGAGCAAAAATTCCTTATTTTTATGATTGGTTGGCTGAAGGTCACGGGTGCGTTCGTATCCCTTGGGACGTTATTGTTGAATTTTGCCGACTTTTATACTTGTTGACAGTTTAATTGCATAGCTGTAAAGTGTCTAATTCACGAGTGGAAATATACGCAGTTTTAGGTGAAAATTTCACCACCACTTTGCGGATGGAATTATTCCGATCACAAATGAATGTTCTGATTGATATTATAAATGATGATGAAGAAAGTATGCATTAATGCATGATTGATTGATATTGATTTAGTTTTATACCACCCTTATTGACCAGCGATTCTTTTGAACACCGCTGAACGACGGATGATTTTATGGGTTGGAGACAACTTACCAAAGAAAACTGTGGTGAAATTTCACCTCGAACTACGTGAATTGCAGTTAACGAATTTGGTTTATAGTGTTCGCCCAAGTTGCTAACAAAAAACCATATGGTTTGAACTGATCCGGCTATTCAGGATCAATCAAACCGGATGCAACACTCATGAATTCACACCAAAACCTATCGGAACAACCATCCGATGTTTAGATAACTTTGAAAGCCTCACTAACAACCACTAGTGCCTCGTTTGATTGATAGAGAACCATTCATATCGATCGACCAATCAATCAGTAGTGTGTATCTATAGAAATAGTCTCAATATCTGTCAACATTTAGTCATGGTTTAATACACGTTTGGAATTTAAGTTTTAGAGGATGTTATAATTTCAGATGTGTTATTGATTGCTCTGATCTTATTTCAGTCACACGTTTCTTCAGTTCTCATACCTCTTGCTATTGTTATATTTCCACTTCCTTGTTTCATTACACTGTACAACAACCTCCACAGTTTTATCAGATTTCACGTTGTAACTGATCACTAAGACTAGATTATTGTGCTTCTAATTGTTGATAAGTAAACGATACATAGGATAAAGTAACACTACGTACATAATTATTTGGTCAGTTTTCAACGATTACTTATGAAACACCATCTTTTTATTGAATCATCTTGAAATGATGAGGACTTGTTTACACAAGGTACAAAGTGGTTTGTTTATTTAGATGTACTACAGGGAAACTTGACCGGTTTCTTTGTTAGTTTTAAAAGGAAACATTAGTCATGTAAATATGCAGAGGCCTCATAATCCAAATTAGATATACGATTACCTCTCAGTGGTCCAACTTACCGTATTTCTACCTTGATCAAACATTATACGATCCAAAGTGTTGCAGCGTATCATAGGACAAGGCAGGTTAAGGTGCTTACAGTTTGTACACATCTGCACAATACCGTGATCGATTTTGTAATCATACCACCCAAATTCATCAACCATTGTTGTGCGTGCAAACCTCAACCTAGCCAGGCGAAACGCATTGTTCACAATATGCCTCGAAATGTATGTCACATATCGTATACAGGTAAAGTGCAAGTAAAGAAAGATACAAATAATATTCAACATGTTTAATAACCTTGAAGTTTTATCGTTTCTTCTTTGGATTTTTGACACTTTACGCGTTAATTGTCAAGACTTTTTGTCATTATTTCTATCAATTTCTTAAAATTTCCGCTTATCATATGACCATTCAGTTTGACTACATATTGTTTGTTTAAAAAGCAACTAGTAACTTTCAAAATTATTTAAAATACACAAAATCTCCCTCCCTTTGTTGTCAAAGTATCAATTACTGGATGCATTCTTATGGCGTGTGTGTAGTGTATGTTTATTTTAAATCACGTAAAGGTTACTCGACTTTCTTTAAATGCTTGTGATATAGACCTTTTCGTAGATTAAAGCTCGCTTTGCATAACAGTGTTCACTTCGTAAAACACTATTTCTGGATGTATTTTGTATGTGTTACTGGAAAACCACTTGCAGTTGACAATGGCCTACACCTATTGTGCTAGGGTTAATCATATTACTTGGATACCCGAACCTCAGGTCGGTGGAGCGGTACTCGAACCCGTGACTCTCTAGTTAGAAGTTGGGCATCTAGATCAATGATCCACAGCTTTAAAATAAGTTGTATTGTCATAAATATAACTGCTATTCGCCATAAGTTATTGGTAGATTGTTAAGATACTCGTTTTTTAAACAAGAAGTCATTCGTTTCACTTCTACTCTTATGACCTAGGTTTAAACAATCAAATCATCTGGTTGTCTTGCGTTTGTCTGCAGTGTAGTAAAGCAAATCAGTGCTTGATTGTTAGCTTATGTGGATAGTGAACTTCATACCTGTGTATGACACAGGTACTGAATTGATTTATTTTACAGTGGACTGATGTGACTGACAGCTTAGACCCAAGGTGTATAGGATTACACAATATATTAGAACATTCAATCGTATATAGCATGTATTTGACCTCATACAAGAAGTGTATCGTTTTCAGTTGTCATACAACAAGAGAACAGTAACAGAATAGTAGTACTGTGAAAGCAAAGTAAAACGATGAATTTATAGAGTTCTATCGGCGGAAATAACTAGAATATTTGTCACGCATGCTGAAATCACCTTCGTCTCTGACAATCGATTCAGGTGTTTATAGGACCAGTTTATAAAAGAGCTAGTGGTGATCAATCTAAAACACATCACTAATTCATGAAGTTTCTTCAATTTTGCTTAACACCACGTAAAACAGGTATACACTACTTAGTTGAAGTTTTCTGGATGCTTAGAATCAACAATTGGAGACTTTACATGCATGCTTTATCATCCAAATTCTGAAAGTCCTCACTAATCTATATATCTAACAACCTTGTCTCCTTCATATTTCCGTCCATAGTAGTCACATTATCACATATCTCGTGTAGACTTTTATTTATGGCATTCTGAGGTATGATAACCTGAATGCGTCCACTCTTTCGCTTTTTGATAGGTACCAGGTTATCTCTCAGGTCTAGTATCTAGTCTCCAATAGGTGATGTGGTCAATCGAATCAGTCATTTCATTCTCTATCCTAAATATACGAGTCAGTGGTGCTTAAGAGTTCTGTAGCGAATTTGACGCTGGTGGAGCTATATTTATAATAGACTGTGCATTCTCACATAAAAGGATTATGCATCCTCCGTTCTCTAAAGCCTGTAGATCTTTAACATCTAGGAATCCTACGTTTTAGCTGCCTAAATCAAATAGACTCACCTTCTCCCAGTTAATCTGAACTCTTACAGCCTTCAATGTATACCAGTCAACATTTCTTGTAGCTGTTTCTAGGTTGATGTGAAAAATAGCTCTGTATGATTATCGAAAAGTAGTGACGATGCATTAGTTTACTAGTAAAGATAGAAATGCATCTGTCAGGATAGTATCCTTTGAATTGTTTTCTTATCCTACTGACAGATGGCATATTCTTTTTTTATTTCATACAATAGATAATTGATTTATCAAAAAACAAAATTTACATATTCTTTTATTGTAGTATGCTAATTTTGGAACGCAGCTCCTATTACTAGCCTGGAACGAATAGAGGAGGTATCTAGAAAAACTGATAAATAGAGTAGGTATTCAGGTGTTGGTTTGTAGGGATTTGATTGGTTACAAGATTTCGTCATGAGCTGACATCAGTTAGAGAAGCATTGGAAAACCTGGGAGTACTGGACAGCTGTTTCGTCCTAGTTTGGGACTCTTCAACAGTATTTGGCAGGGATCTCTGAACACTGGTTTCTTCTGAAATAATAGAAAAGATTTGTAACTCAGGCGGATGATTTGCAATTGATAGTGTTCTCTGAGCTCCTTGTTTTAATTGCGGAGCTTTCATCGTCTTTCTGGACGACATCTTCAGCGCAGCATTTAGGATGAAAGCTCCGTAATTAAAACAAGGAGCTCAGAGAACACTATCAATCTCAAAAACTGGTTTCTTCTTTTAATGTCAATCATCTGTAAAGAGTATCTAAAAATGTTCTGGCCTACGAGCTTGCCTCGTAACCAGAAGGTCCTGGGTTTGAACCCCGGTGGGCGCGTATTGCCAAAGAGTCACAGACTAGGACGAAACAGCTGTCCAGTACTCCCAGGTTTTCCAATACTTCTCTCACTGATGTCAGCTCATGATGAAATCCTGTAACAAATAGCTTAGGTGTTGTTATTTAGTGGATGCGGACTAGCAGTGGAATCCAGGATGTTTATTACATCGTATTTGGGATTAGTCAGCTGAATATGCCTGCATTCTAAGTGAGTGATGGTGTTCCCACTGTTGTTTCAAAAGCCGAAGCGTTATCTACTAGATCACATTAGCCACCCGTTATGCAACAGGTAACTGTTATTTATTTTTTTATGTAGATTTGTATTTCCCGTTGGCTTATTCTGAATTTCTGTACTAGCAGCTGGCATATTAACAACATAGGTCGAACATTTAGGTCCATTATAATCATCCCACCAGAAACACAGAGATAAATGAAAACAAATCGCTCAGATGTTGTTTCCTTCTATTTGTGAACTCTTCAACAGGTTTAACTCCACGACCTAATACAGAATTAATCTGATCGGCTTGAAATTTCTAACTCTGTCCTAAATTTCTAGATCAGGATCCGATAACTCAAACAGTTCAAAAATCTAACCGACCGACTTTGTTTTTCACGATCATTATCATTTGTTATCGGTGAAAAATTCATCTTCACAGTTAGAGTAGTTTAATGCATCACACGATGTAAGACTCAAGAAAACTTTGGAAGTTGTTGTACACTGTGATGAAACAAGATAGTGCAAAAACAACATTACCAAGAGATATGGGAACTGGGGAGATGTGTGACTGAAATAAGATCAGAGCAGTCGATAACACATCTGACATCATAACATATACTGACAGTCATGGATCAATAAAGTGACTATGGCTTGCTCAGTGGCTCCTCTACGGTTCACTACCCAACGTGTAATAAACCATGACTATATGTTGATAGAATTTGAGGCTGTTTCTATAGGTATACACTAGTGATTGATTGGTCGACTGATATGAGTGGTTGTGTATCAATCAAACAAAGCACTAGTGCTTGTTAGTAAGACTTTCAAAGTTATCTAAACATTGGATGGTTGTTTCGGTAGGTTTTGGCGTGAAATCACAGTGTTGTATCCGGTTTGATTGATCCTGGATAGGCGAATCAGTTCAAACCACTGACAGTAATACTCTTACTCAAAATCAATCGAATTAAATTAAAAATTTGACATACGGAGTAGTTTAAGTTTATTGGTGATGGAAACGTTTGGCCAAATCAATCGAATCTTTGTAAGCTGACAAATTTAGCACTTTTAAAATGCCCTCCCATGTTGAAGCCAAAAAGAAAAACGCCAAAAGTCAATAACTCCTCCTTCAGCTATGAAGTTTTTGTTTAGAGAAAGATTATAAATTACCAAAAGCAGGATTATTCTCAAGAAATTTTTTTAAAAAAAGGCTGTTTTTTTCCTGAGAAATACCTTTCCTGGCTATATACCCATCACTCTTCATATTTATTTTTACTTACTGTGTACTCATCTGAAGTCCTACTGCTTAAAATGATTATTGGCATCTCTTTATATAACCTCCTTTTCTCCTTTCGTTTTCCTATATAGTAGTAGTGGAGTGAATGAAATACAATCAACTGCTTTTCATGCTTGTGAAAGTTTATTCCTCTTCCTCTAATTCAAATAAATAAAAAAAACAATAATGGTTACCATGATGACGACAACTGTCTTTAATGAATAGGATCTATATGCGTGTGTGTATGTGTGTTGTATTCACTTCAATTGTCCTTCTGTTTTTTTTCTTGTTTTTTTTTTTCTTCAACTGAATTGTATTCACTTCTTTCTTTGTTGCTGATTAAATTCTGTTTTGTAACAAACTTGTTCATCATTTTTTTTTTTTTTATTCAATAGGTCAGTCATCATCCACCAGCTTGTGCTTTACACTGCGAGAGTAATGCTTGGTATTGTTGGTTCGAATTCTCTATGACAACAAAATTCCGTGGTAAATACCTACAGATTAATCCAGTCGGTACATGTCATCTGGTGTTTCGTCGAACAGGACATCATTATACATGGCAAAAAATTCCTATGACAGTGCATAATATCATTGTTGGCCGATTATGGATTGATAACAGCGGGGAAATGGATATCATCAATCATAATACAGGTGAAAAATGTCATCTATCCTATAAACCGTATTCATATTTCTCTAGTGAAAAACCTCGTCGGGTAAGTGTTTTGTCTTTTAATGATCGACTGAGAATGATTTATTGAAATATTGTCTTTTCTAGTTGTTTTTTTTTTGAATGGAGGATCGTTTCATTTGCCTAGTTTTTAAATGTCTAGACTGAAATTGGCAAATGAAGATTTCTTTTCGCGTTATTATTTGAGCATGAAAATACATCCTGGTTGTGTTTTTTTTTAATTGCCTTGAGGCTATTTGTACCAGTTCAATGTGCAAATTAAATCACCACACTGAGCTGATTTATCTTGAAGCATACTGGGATAACTGCACTTCTGAAGGGAAAAGGGCGAATTCGACTTGAGATGATGCTATAGATTTCAAAACTGTTTATAGATTATTTATTAATGTGATGTCCAACAATGTTTTACTTGAAATCACAGCCTAAAGTTTGGTTGTAACAAGTGCTGTCTAGGGATTCTATTATTATTATTATTATTATTATTATTGATTGATTGATATCTTGTGACTGCAGATGATTTTATGTGCTCCTCTCTCTGATTGAATTACTTTCTAAACATCTCTAATTTTTTTTACGAGTTGATAACGGATTGGATATCAGTTAGAGAACCATTGAAAACCAGACACAAGGGAGTACTGGACAGCTGCTGTTTCATCCTAGTTTGGTAATCATCGGCAGTACCCACCCACCCAACAGGGTTCGAACCCAGGACCTTCCGGTTACAAGGCAAGCTGATTCGTATACCATTCACCACTCGGACCCGATTCAATGACCAGCCCATGAATTCTAACTTCTACCAATTCGTGATTTAGCGCGACTAGCACCAACCATTGTCGTTGTGGGACATCATCCACACACGTGACATCTAATTGAACCAAACTGGTCAACACTTCTCACTAGAACTCCAGGAATCTCCATACTATAGCAAGTCACTAGCGAGCATGAGATTAATTTTCTATAGTTTGGTTTGTAAGGATTAGTTATGTTTTTACGAGTTGATAACGGATTGATATCAGTTAGAGAACCATTGAAAACCAGACACAGGGAAGTACTGGACAGCTGCTGTTTCATCCTAGTTTGGGAATCATCGGCAGTACGCACCCACTGGGATTTTTTGTTTTATTCTGTTGTGTTCCGACTGGAACATAAGGAAGACATCGTTCTTGGAGCTTTGACGCTTTGCTAACAGTGGTTTAATTTTTACGGGTTGCCATCCCTAGTCTCACGCTCAACCCTCCCGTTTTACCAGGCTTACTACCAGCTTAGTGAGGTAAAGGAGTGCGTCGCCCGGGAGCTAGAATCCCAGACCACTTGCTTGGTTGGTCAGTATTCTATCAGTGAACCACCAACCACATATTCCAGATCATGTGTATGATTAGAGAAACCAACTCTTTAACATGGTATGTAAACACTGTCGTTATTACGCAATATATATTAATAGTATATTATTAATATTCCCTTGCTTTCCAAGTGGAACATAGGGCTTCGACAACACATCTCCACTTTGTACTGATTTCTGCTGTCCTCTATAGCTGGGTCCACGATTGACCAAACCCTCTCATCTCTTTCTCATACGATCTCCTCCATGTCACCCTCGCACTGACTACCCGACTCGTCGCTTCCCATTTGGATTCCACTCGAGCAGTGGCCTGCATTGCGAGTGGTGTCATTCGGTGGCCACCCCAATGTAAGCTCGATGCAGCTCCATTTTCTCTTACCTATTTGTTGAGCGATCGACTCTTGCTTGTTGGTTTGTTCCCATGGTTTCTTGTTACTTATTCTTTCTGGTTGGCAGGCCGTTTGATCTTCAGTATGGAGCCAGCAAAGGCAGCTGTTGATGAAAGTCTGCAGTAACCTGTTGGACTAGTGTATAGATATATAGATACTTGTAAATACCTTTTTCATGACGAAGAAATGCCTATGTGTGCCTCCAGTTTTTAAAACTATTAACTCTTGTCTCACGTAATACCCTAATTATTTCAAAACTACTCATTCTGTAGTTTATCACTCGCAAGGTATGAATAAAATAGTACGTTTTCCTGCATCATATTATCCACTCATTTCCTCATACCATCTCATCCTTTATAGGTAACTGGTGCTGTTCTGGACAAGTCTGGCGCTGTTCGATACGTGCTAAACGGCACTTGGGATGATTCACTTGAATATGCACCTGTAGTGACTGCTAGACAAACACGCAATGGAAAACCAGTACTAGAAACTGGTCCTGCATTACTTTTATGGCAAAGTAATCCCTTACCGCCAGATGCAGAACGTATGTACTATTTCACACGTTTAGCTTTGCAGTTGAATGAACCGGAAGAAGGTGTATGCCCTACAGACTGCCGTTTACGACCTGATCAGCGTCTTATGGAAGTTGGTCGTTGGGATGAAGCCAACAGATCAAAAGTACAACTTGAAGAGATACAGCGGCAGAGGAGACGTCAAATGGCTGCTAAATTGGCTGAACAGTCACTTTCTTCTAGTGGAAATGAAGCTGGAGTGAATAGTACTCATGGAAAATCTATAGATTCGGACAGCTATCAATCAACACCAACTGCCAGTAGTTTTCGTAAGTCTTTTTTATATTAGTAATTTCCCAATGTTTTTATGTATTTTTCTTCGAAGAATATTTTTCTTCTCAACATAATACTAGGGCAGTAAAATCATATTATTCATACTAGACCATTTTACAAACCAACGTCAAAAGGAACAGGTAAATAGAGTCTAATGATGAAACTAGTAGTTGGTCCTCAGTACCGTATATCGATATACGTAGTTCATATCTGTCGGTTGGGCAGATTCGAGGTCATTATGATGATTAGTCAGTAATACTACCGTCGATGGTTCTAATACTCCCTATAGTTTGACGTACCATATAATAACAGTCAAATCTCTACCTGAACTTCATCGACTTTGAAAAAAAGCCTTCAACGATGTCGATTGCAAAGTTTACGCCGACTCTGGCGTAGACGAGATGTTCGACTATCGACCAAAGGGCGGGTGTACTGCTCATCAGTCCGCTCCGTCCTCCTTTATGGTTGTGAGACCTGGCCACTGAGAGTGGAAGACATGAAAAGACTAGCTGTCTTTGATCATAGGTGCCTCCGCTCTATTTCCCGTGTAAAGTGGCATAATAAGGTGAGCAACATGGAGGTTAGGCGCAGAGTTCTAGGTAAACAGGGGAAATCAATCGACGAAGTCGTGAAGTTACAAAGACTGAGATGGTTAGGACATGTGTTACGTATGCCAAGTCATCGCCTCCCTCGACGAGCTATGTTAGCGGATATAGGGTCAGGCTGGAAAAAAGCTAGCGGCGGTCAAACAAAAACTTGGCATCAGTCAATGAAATCTACAACAGTTGGTCTAAGCCACGTAGGAAGGTGTAGACTTCCTGACTGGTTGGGGTCCTCGGGACGGTAAAAATCTATGGTTGGAAACAATTGGTGACATGGCTCAAGACCGTTCTCAGTGGCGCAGATGCATCCACTCCCTGTGACTTATGATCTTCAATGAAACTGTTTTGTTCTTCGTTATTACTCCTCCTTTGTCTCACACCTCTGCTCACTGTTTCTATTATGCTTTTCTTGTACTTTCTTCTCTTGCTTCGCGTGCTACACGGAATATGGCGACTTGAACTTCCGCACATTTGTGCAAAGTTCTATGTCGAAAACAGACAGACAGACAGATTGCAAAGTAGTTCGGAGACAGCTGCAACACTACAGAATGCCCTAAGGCCTTATCAATCTCATTCAATGATGATGCCACATCTCGAATAATTCACAATCGAAAGCTGTAAGCGAAGCCCCTTTGCAGTAAAAATAGGAGTAAGAGAAGGCTACCAACTATTACCATTGGTATCCCTGATTCTAGTGGATTCAATCATGTGGCAGACTGTGAGAAGTAAGAAAAGAAGTATACGTCTAACCGGTGAAAAGACTTTAGACGTTAACTTTGTGGATAAGTTGTGTTTGATGCAGGAAGAACTCGAAAGTTCTCAGGCAGAAAGCCAACAAACTGCCAGAAGAAGTAACGAAAACAGGATTTCAAGTGTAAATATCTAGAGAAGACTGTGGTGTGATGAAGGTATCTAACCAACAGCAACAACAGACACCAATCATATATGGTGGGGGCGGTGAGAACTAAAGCGAATCACCCTCTTTCCTTACATAGGCGGCATTTTTTCAAATACAGGCAGTATCAGGGTAAGAAAAGCAAGCCAAACCTTCAATAATCTGAAATCAGTAGGGAAATCGACTGGACTAAGTATGAGGGAAAAGATACGGAGTTTTAACATTCATTCACGAATGACTCAGTCAATGCTTCCCTTATATAGTTCAGAGATATGGTGCTCACATCACGATAAATACCTCTAACAGACTTCAGATTTATTGACAATCTGCTTTTGTTGGCGCTAAACTGGACATCAGATGACCGGCTAGAAAAGATTCGCATCAATTAACCACTGGCAACAAATCAAGCAAGAAGGCCGTTATCCATAAAATATGCAGAACAAAATGAAGATGGATTGGAAACAAACTAAGAGGTCTGTTGAGTGACATCGCGCGTCACACTCCCAAGGGAGAGCCAAATTGGAAAACAATAAGTTGGCCGTCCAAGGGTGGCTTAGAGGTGATGAAAATTTGATGAGCCATCATAGAGTCACTTTTATAAAGACTGAAGTTAACAGGCGCTTCTGTGTAGCCTTCTGTTTCACTCGGAATCCAAGAGACAAATAATAACAATATATATTTCGCTAAAATGAAGAATAATTCATATTTTTTATATCAGCCGCTTGGTTTAATTTCTCGAAAGACTATGAATTTCCATGTATATAAATTGTATTTCTTGTGTGTGTGTGTGTTGATGATTATTTGATTTTCTTTATTGATTTTACAGTTGATATTGTTGACAGTCAGCATAAACCGCTATGGTTTACAAAAGAAATTGATCCAGCCACAAAGAAAGAAACTTACATTTTTAATGGAAAATATTGGGAGCATAAATTAACCAACGACTGGTCAATGTGTCCTAACATATATTCATGATAAGTGGGCGAAACGAGGGTGACTGCGGGAAAGGGGCAAGAAATAAGGCTGCAAGTCATACCACTATTACTACTACTACTACTACGATTACTACTCATTATTATTATTATTACTATCGTTACGAATTATTATTATTATTTTATCTTTTCGTCTTTTCCTTACCAATCAATCTATGAATGAATGATGATAAGACGACAATTAACCGTGATAGACATTAATCATTTCTACTAAATACACCTTCTCATCTGTCCAATGATAATGTACACCTTATTTTTTATTACAACTGTTAATAACCAACTAACTAACTACCGTTTTCCTTAAATTGGGATGAGCGCGCACACACACACAAACAGATAAACTCATAATTCATATGTATAGAGAGGAAATGTAATCTTGCTCGTATGATTCTATGTAGTTCAATTAATTAAACTGTTACATCATTTTTAATACATTCACTAATTTAATTAATTAATTTTACTTACTATCTCTCTCTATCTCTCTTGTCTCTTACCTACCTACCTACCCTGGATTGTGAACACTTCTCCTACTATTGATGTATTTATTCTTGTTTGAATGATGATGGTGATGACGATTATGTGAAGTGAATATTTTGTTATTGCGCTAATGTTAACCTACCTAATCACACTGATTGTCTTGTATTCATATTTGTATGCATGGAGTATATTCAGTAGAAATTGTGACCAAGTTGTGATGAATTCCACATATTTTTCCGTGGAGATAGTGGCGGCGGCGGCAGGAGCACCAGCATCACCACCAGCAGCATTATCTATCACACTCCTTCTAGGGAGCGAGAGAGAGAGAGAATAGCATTCAAATATTAACGGGCATGGAAATCACGTATAAACTACAAAGAAGTGTGTGTGTGTGTGTGAATGCAGCTGAAACTACTCATGATTCATATTGTTGACGTAAAATTACACCAACACCACGCTTCAATTGTTCTTTGTTTCTTCTGTCGCTCTCTCTCTCTCTCTCTTAGCTCCACGCAAATTACCTCCCTCCCTGTAGTTGTTATAGAGTTAACCCTTTAGATATTTACTCATTCTCTTTATTTTTTGTGGTCTTTTTTGTGAATAAAAGAAAATATGTCACATTGTATATTTGATTAAGCATACACATTTTTACTTTTCAGTTCATTATTATTGTTATTATTATTATTACTACTATGATATGAGTAAAGTGTTTCTGCGCATCTGCATGAGGAAAAAAAAGTGTTTGTAAAACATGCTCATTCTTTTTTTGTGGTAGGTTTTTTTTCTAAGAAAATAAAATATTTCATTAGTTCTTGTGTTGAGTAAATATATATAACACATATTCTTGTATCATCTTTGTTCTGAGGCCTTTTCTCTTCTTTTTACATAAGTAGTGTGTCGGTGCGTCCGTGGCATAGCGGTGAGGATGCTCGCTGACCATGCACATGGTCCAGGGTTCGATACCCGGCCACCGACGAGGCACTCCTTTACCTTGCTAAGCTAAAAATTATGCTGGTAAAGAGGTAAGGTTGGGCATATGGGGGCTATCTACCCCATTTTGTAAAAATAACCACCACTGCTACAGAAACTTCACTAGCCACTACCTTGAAGGCGCCCTATGTTCCACTGGGAACGTGAACGGAAAAAAAAGTGAAAAGAAGTTTTAGGATGTTTTTCTTAATAGACAACTGTGCATAGGGCTTTTCTATGCATGTCTAGCTTATTATTATTATTACTTTTACCTTGGGTTTCCGAGTGGAACACAGGACTTCAGTATCATATCTGGATTTCATGTTGTTCTCTGCAGGTCATCTTTTTTTTCAACTGGCTTCATGTTATAATTGCCCTGAACTGAATAAACCGCGTTGCCGATTAGTTATATCTGCTCCGCTAATTGTTGTTATAAGGATAATGAACTCGACTGGTACGCAAATACGTCTCTATTTGTCCGTTGTACCTTCCGACTCAATAAGCCACGCATATATCAGAAGACAAAGGTTGGCCTGTGAATATAAGATATTGTATATTCTAGGAACAACACGTGGTGTTTATACATTTTATTTACCATAATACAGTTGGCTCATAGCTGTGAGAATGGATTGTCCATATTGGTGGTTGGTAATAAATATTATGATTGGTTAGCGATCCAGCAAAGACTATAGTAAGATAAAAGATGACGAATTGATCACACTCGAAATCACAATACACGTGAGAAATGATATATATTCACGTAGTAACTCCATCATAAGATAATCACACGATTTGTGAGAAGGGATGGCATACTATTTCTTATGCTGGATCCTATCGCTTCAAAACTACCCATAAGCTCTCATCATCTCTTGCTCCTGTGTGTCATTGTCTGAGCCATGCTCATCCCGTCGTTTTCTATTTAGGTTTCGCTTGAGAGTTAGCTTGACATGTGATGTCACTCGATAATCCTCTCAGGGCGTGTGTATTCAATCCATCTTCATTTGTTTCCTCGTATTTAGTCGCGCAATAGATACTTGATTGGTTCGCTGTCAGTGTTACTCGCCGCCAATCTTTCCTGATCATCTGGTCGTCATCGCTAGAAACAAAGGCAGCTGCTGTTGATAAAGTGTGAAGCCTGTTGCAAATTCTTTTACTGACTCGTGTACCAATTCGCTGTGCGTTGGTTGCACAGCGGCTAGGACTTTCTCTGACCATGTACATGGCCCGGGATTCGATCCCCTGCCGACACACACTTGATATCAATGGTTGGTCTGCAAAATTTGGACTGCCGATATCATAGCTGAAAATTCCATACTTGTGCTGAAAATACGGTGTGGAATCAAGCTATAATCAAAAATATATAGAAGCACTCATCCGACAATAGTGTTGCAAAAATCCGAATCTTGTTCTTTATATGCTGAGTGCAGTAGATTTATGATACTACCTTCCTTTGACATACTTATTGGAGCTGCCTGTAATCGAAATCATGCTACCTTAGATAAAGTGGAAGAGGTGACTTCTCTTAGATTTCTCTTATTGAAGGTGAGTGGTGCTTGTTGTGGTTAGTTGATTGGTTGGTTAACTGTCTTTATCACCTCTGTCTTCTCTGTTTTTTTCACTTGAATTTCCTTCTTCTCTGATAATATTACAAACTTTTTGATTTTTCTCCATTATAGATAAGATTTTATTTCGAGCAATAATTTGTGCTTGAAACATGGTCATCAGTTAATATTACTGTACAACACTGTGTGATTTCAAGTGTTGGTTTGTAGGGATTTGATTGGTTTCAGGATTTCATCATGAGCTGGCATTAGTTAGAAAACCATTGGAAAACCTGGGAGTGCTGGACAGCTGTTTCGTCCTAGTTTGGAACTCTTCAGCAGTACGCACCCACCTGGATTCGAACCCAGGACCTTCCGGTTACAAGGCGAGCTCTTGAATACCAATGAGATGCTCGCTGGCGACTGGCCCTATTCAGGTAGGTAGTTACCTGGGTTCCAGTGGGAGGTCGTGACCAGTAGGGGGCAGCGAGTCGGGTGTGAGGACAAATACTCGCCGAAGACATTGGTTAGCGATCGCGCTATGTCGTGAATTGGCAGAAGTTAGAATTCATAGACTGACCATTGGATCGGGTCCCTGTGGCTTAATGGTATACGAGCTCGCCTTGTAACCGGAAGGTCCTGGGTTCGAATCCCGGTAGGTACGTACTGATGAAGAGTCCCAAACTAGGACGAAAAAGCTGTCCAGTACTGTGTGATTTATCAAAATAAAGTCTTATCTATAGCTAACCATGGTGCCCAAGTTTTACACTTATGTCACTAATACTTGTTGGTTTTCGCCTGTAGATATGCTGTGCGTTCTTCGGTGTCAGTTTTTTGTAAGGAACAGAACAACCTTGCAGAGTATTATTTTGTCATTTTCAAATGATTACCTACGGAATACCATCTTTTTTTATTAAATTGTCTTGAGAGTGATTGGACAAAGAGCACAAAGAAAATGATTTGTTCGTTATGATAATAATACAGGGAACTTGTTTTATAACTTGGTCTTATCTCTGTCAGTTTTCAAAGTATCACTGATAATCTAAATATATATGTAGGCATAATAATCCAAATAAGACACAAAGCTCAGTGTTCAGTGGTCCAAGCTATATTACATTTCTGCATTTGATCAAACATTATGCGGTCAAGAGTTATACAGAATATCATAGGGTAATTCAGGTTAAAGCAAATAAAGCAGTGTGTTAGATTGCTACACTGGTGAAGTCTAATTCTCTGTGCATCTGTAATGCTATAATCGATCCTGTATCATGCTAATTAAATTTACAGTTTTTGTTCAGTGAAGAAATTTCTTTTCAACGACTTCATTTTCAAACTGTACAGTCGTATTTGTATTACAGAGAAAGTTGTTAAGTGGCACTAAACAATTGCTCAGTCAATATACATATATAAGTGATAAGAATAACGATAATTAAAATGTTATAAGGAATAGAGTCAAAGTGGATGAATTACAGAATTATTAAAGATTGTTTAATAAGTGAATTGATATCAAAAACATTTTTTAATGTTAAGCGTTGTCTAAAAATTTTAAAAAATTAGGAGTACGATTACAATAAGAATAAAGATGTGAATGAATTCAAGTGGTGAAATAAAATAAAAGCTAGAAAGAACATTACTATAACCAAGGTAAAGAAAGGGGTTTGACAAAACGTTTTTGAACACATAATTTAGGTTTCTATTCACGTATAGCTAAAGCTTCGGCTATGTATAAGTGAAGAAAACGTAAACTTTTGGATCGATTCGATTTTGCCATGTAGATAACTTTGAAATAGGAATCACGCGGGGCTGAATGACCAGACTCTAACAGATGATCACAAATAGACGACTTCGCAGTTCTACGTTCGCCTTTCATTAACCAAATCGGATAGTGTTCAGCTACACGTTTTCGGAGATTACCCTTACAACATCCAATATAATCAGCTCCACAGGAGCAGGTAAAAGAGTAAATGCACATAGATGTGGACAAAAGCGGTAATCT